TAACTACAGTTCAGATGTAACATTCACACTGAAAAATACTTACAGATTCAACCTCATACGCAAAAAATTTCTAGTACAAATACAGTTAGTACATAAAAAGATGAACAACAACAACAAAAAAAAAACAATCCCAGAAACTTTGTAACAGCACAGACTGGTTATGGCCTTGAGTTAAGTTCAAGTATTTCCCAGTGGAATGCAATGCAAGCAACAAGGTAATCTGGCTTTTACGTGGGACATTCCTGGCCCTGAATGGTAAGAATAGAAATATAAGTGTGGGCACTTTATCCGACCAAGTTTAGCGAGAGAGTCAACATTTACGATTAGTTCAGCTGCAAAGCTAAACCTGTCTTGTGTGTGAACAAAACTACTAACCTATTAACAAAAAAAAAAAAAAAGCATTAATTATACTTCCGTGGCCGACGCTGCCTGTCGTCTAATTGAAATTCCTCGAGATGCCGGTTTAGTTTGTAATGGTTGTGATGGGTTTTCTGCTTGTGGTTAGGTTTATTTTGCTGCTCTATCCTTTTTCTTCCCAAACTGACGTGATAAAAGAGGGGACTTTTGCTCCTGCTCCAAAAGAAGTCGTTCCTGCAGAGACATTAATGCATGTCAGTTGCCTTTGTGGCAGTGACTCGGTGGAAAAACACGATATCCTAAAGGCTTTAGAGGCCAAGGAGCGGAGGAGGAAGAGAGGAAGTGAGCAACTTGGTATGTGTAATAATAATAATACTTTATATTTCTAGGGCTGCCTGACTCAAGCTGGCTCCTGTGTGCAGCTCAGATGGGATCTGGGGGTCCCTCCTCGCCAGGGTCCGAGGAGTCAGCCTGTCCTCCAGGCTGGCTGGGACCTTGCAGGCAACTTTGCATCTCTCCCAGGCAGCCCACGACACCGGAGCAGTCCTGCCGGGAATGTGCCCTTGTGCTTCTGTCTCTGTCGAAACGCTCGGAAAACATGAGGAAGCAAGATCAGCTCCCGTTTGCAAAGCATTTTATGCAAGGAAGTATTTCAAGCCTGACAGAGGAGCGGGGCTGGCTGGAAGGACAGCTGAGAGAGCAGTTACGCTGTCTCCCTGCCCGACGAGGAGGTTGTATTGATCTCCCAAGAGTCTGCCCTGGCTCTAGTACTTGTCAATATTGCAATTATTGACTCTCACTATGGAAAACAGTGTGTGCATATTAAATGAGATGGTGACACCAGCCGGGAGGAGGCTGCAAATCTGCTGCAAGACTGACAGATCACTCAAAACCCCCTTGGCACACTGGATCTGTGGTGTGAAAATAAAAAGGCAGTTTGAAGGAGGGCAGGAACATCCCAACTGTGCAAGCACACATCTAAAGAGGAGAGTAATCCCCGTGCCTGCAGAAGGTGGAGGTTTGGGGAGGACCAGGGTGGCTGATGGGTGCATGAAGAGGAGCAGAGTGGGAAGGTGGCCTGAGGAACAGCCCTGCCACACCGCTGGGAAGACATGGACAGGCTGATGGTGGTTCAAAGACACCAAAGAAAACCATGCTAGAAAAGTAGCCCTTGGAGAAAGGTTGATGAGACTGGGGTTGCTTGGCTTAAAGCAGACTTGAGGTGGATGAAAACAGTCTCCAAACAGCCAAAAGCTTCTGCAGCCATTAAAGACATGAGAAGTTCTCCATGGCTGCTGAGGAGAGGAGATGCCAGGGGTTGCAGCGAGGGGGGTTTGTGTTAGCCATTAAGGAAGCATTTGATGGTGGCAGGTTGGGGAGAAGATCCGTGGTCCTTTTCAGCCCTGTTGCTGTAAGTGTCTCTGAACCTGCAGCCATGGAGCCCAGGGATCTCCTCCCGTTGGGCACTGACCAGCTATATTGTTGGGGAAGGGGCTATAGCCCTGCTGTTTAAAACGTGTTTAATGATTCAGTCAGGCCCTGGTGATCAGGTTCTGGGATTTCTGGCTTAAAATCTTTAAGCTCCTTTCCCCATGGTGAGGCCAGGATGGTTTCCTGAAGCAAGACCAAGGGAGGCACATGCCCATCCCTGCATTTGGTGACTCGCTGGTGAATCTGCAGGTCAGCAGGAGCTGAGGGGATGATCTGAGTCATCGGGAAATGGTCGAGCCATGTCTGGGGCTGAAAGAGGTGTCGCTGGTATGGGCAGGAGAAATCCAAAACCCGGACTCCAGCACAGCACAGCGTCTTCTGCTATTGCGTGGGAAGGACGAGTTTATCCGGGGATGTGATATTACTGCTCATCTCAAAGGAATCAGAAAAACCCAAGCAGCATCCAACCATCGCTCTCCTCAGAGTTTCTACCCTTCCCTTGGGATCGTGACTTTAAAAACACACTGTTTCCCATGGGACACAGGGCTGGCGATAAACGAGAAGTCACATCAATGTGGAGGACAAGCCTGTGCCCTGGACAGCTCTAACTACTACGGAGCAAATTTCCACTCAGCAGCACCTCTGTTTGCCTCCCCAGCAGTCCTAGGCTGTAGACCTGCATGAATTTATCTTCATCCTAGCAGTACCATCAGCAACCAGCCTCTCCTGCATTGGCCGGTGCAGCCCAGCCCAGGAGGAGAGCACATTCCCGCGCATGGGACAAGGAGCAACAGCGCAGTTGGATATGTTTGTCTCCCCACCATCGTGGTGTGAACTTTCTGAGCTTTTCATTCAGAATTCATGGCAGAAAGGCAATCCCTTCACACAACAGATGTGTGTTACTCCTGACCATTGCTGGTGGGGGGAGATGCACCGATCCTCCTCCTGGATGCAGTTGTCCGTTTTCAAGGGGAAGATCTCTAGCAGCAAGAGCAGGCAGCACCGCAGACATTGTACTGATGCCTTCAGCAG